ACAAAAAGGTGCTCAAATTTTTTTTATCAAGAAAACAGAAAAAATTACAACCACAATGAGATATCACTAACCTAACAGATTCACCAATGAATAAATGTGTACAAAGTGCTTATGTACAATGCATGCCTACACAGTGTGCCACAGAATGTTCCAGCCTATAACAATACTGAATATTAAAGACAAAATCCTCAAGCCTGGCATGGTGACACACATTTGTAATCCCAGTGACTGGAGAGTGAGTCAGGATAATTCCAAGTTTGAGGACAGCTTCAGCAATTTAGCAAGGCCCAAAGAAACTTAGACCCTCTCTAAAAATCACCAACATCCACAAAAAAAGACTCATCTCTATGAAAATACAGGAAGCAAGTAGCCAGTAAGTACGTAGCTAATTAAAACTTCATATACTTAAGTGATACAATATTAATTCCAAGCAGACTCTGTTAAATAAGAATGTCTATTGTAATTCCTACAATAGATACATAGAAATATAGCTGAAAAGCAAATACAAAAAATGTATCAGAAAAAATTGATTACCCCCTCAAAAAAGGCAGGAAAGGAGAAGTAGTGGATTTTAAAATGGGACAAATAGAAATCAACAAAAAAGCAAACATGAACACAGACAAGTTAATGATCAATGTGAATGGTCCAGAGATTGTCATACTGGATTTTTTTTTTTAAGTCAAACTCAACCACATACTGCCTGCAAGAGATGTTTTATTGTTGTTGTTGTTGTTTGTGTGTGTGGTGCTGGGGATTGAACCCAGGGCATTGTGCATAAGAGGAAAGCACTCTATCAACTGAGCTACATACCTCCCCAACCCCCAAGAGATGCATTTTAAATGTAAAATAACAAATAAGTTCAAGGAAAAAAGATGGAATAAGGTATGCCATCCAAATAGTAAGTACAAGAAAACTGGCCTGGTTGTACTAGTATTAGACAAAATTGGTATTAAGAGATAAAAGGAATGACAGCAGGGTCAATTCATTAAAATGACACACAAATGTGTATACACCAAGTAATAAAGATTCAAAATACATGAAGCAAAAACTGAACAAACTAAAGGGAAAAACAGATGAATCTACAATAGTGGTTTGAAATTTCAAAACTCCAAATCAGACCCAAGACGTGGAGTTTGCAGTACCTGACCTCGCCTCTGACGCGAAGTTGGGTCAGGTAGAGAGTAGGGAGCGGTAGTCGCTGGTGGTGGGAGAAGGAGGCAGCAATGAGTCACTTATAAACTGCGCTCAAGCAGGACCCGAAGCTGAAATGCCAGGAGGGTGAGCGAGTAGGGTGCTTTCATGGGCCTCTTTGTGAAGCATAGTGTGCTAAGGTTGCCATAAAGGACAAACAAGTGAAATACTTATACATTACAGCGGTTGGAATAAAAATTGGGATGAATGGGTTCCAACCAGCAGAGTTCACAGGTACGTGGACACCGATCTGTAGAAACAGCGAGAACCCCAAAAAACCAATGGGGGCAGTAAGCAAGGGGAAGGTGAAAGGCGAGGGGGGGGGGTCCAGGAAAGAAGACATCTAGTCTGTAACAGAAAAGGTTGAGGTGAAAACAAGAAAGAAAAAACAGAAAACACCTGGAAATGGAGATGGTGGCAGTAATTAGTGCGACACCTCCGCCTCCTTGGAAGAAAAGGGCCCCGAGTAGATCCTACTGTTGAAAATGAAGAAACATTTATGAACAGAGTTGAAGCTAAAGTAAAGATTCCTGAAGAGCTAAAACCACGGCTTGTTGATGACTGGGACTTGATTACCTGACAAAATAGCTCCTTTATCTTCCTGCAAAGCAGAATGTGGATTCTATTCTAGATATTATTCAATTTATAAGAAATCTCGACGAAATAGATAATAAATATGCTATTAATGAATTGTGGCAGGAATAAAAAGAATACTTCAATGGGCACCCCACTGCTCTACAAATTCAAGAGACCACACCATGCTGAGGTTCTTGTAGATCATCCTGATGCACCCATGTTTCAGGTATATGGAGCACCATATCTACGCTTATTATTTGTAGGAATTGGAACAATATTATTTGTAGGAATTGGAGCAATATTGGCCTATACACCTCTGGATGAGAAGAGCCTTGCTTTATTACTGAATTATCTTTACGATTTCCTCAAGTACCTGACAAAGAATTCTGCAACTTTGTGTAGTGCCAGTGATTATGAAGTAGCCCCTCCTGAGTACCATGGGAAAGCAGTGTGAGGAGATGCTCTTCATTCACTTGTGTCTGGATCTCTGAAAACACATTTTTGTTCTTGGTCCTTTGAAGATGTTGGTGATTAACAGAATTTTTTAAAACTGTTTGAATTTTTAATATTTTCAGTTGTGGATGGACACAATAACTTTATTTATTTACTTATATGTGGTGCTGAGGATAGAACTCAGGGCCTCAGCATACGCTAGGTTCGTGCTCTACTACTAAGCCACAATCCCAGCCCCCAAAGCTGCTCTTGAATGCTGGTGATTCTATTCCTTTGACACTACACACTTTTATGTTAATGCTATATGATAAAATATTCTGATTCCTAGTACCAAAGTTTCAATTCAGTGTGTATAACTGAATACACTCATCCATTTTTGCTCCCCACCCTTTTTTAATAGTGCTTAAAGACCCATCCTTTGCAAGTTAGCCATATTGTTCCTTAGGTATTATATCTTTGCCCACTAAACAATAATGACAACACATCAAAATTTGTGGAATATAGTTAAAGTAGAAGAAAAGTTGTAGACTTTGGAAGCTTAGATTAAAATATTTTAAATCAATTATATCTTTTTGCTAAGAAGCTACAAAGAATAAATTAAGTAGAATGAAAGGCTGAAGAGCAGAGATGACATACTGAAGTAGACATATACAAGTATACAACAGAGAAAATAAAAATTTAGTTTCTTAAAAAGGTTAATAAATTAGTAAAAATCTGAACAAGTTAATAGAGAAAAAATAGCCAAGCACAGTGAGGGGAACCCATAATCCCAGCTACTCAGGAGGATCTCCTGGGCCCAGGAGTTGGAGACCAGCCAGGGCAACATGGCATGACCCCCAGAGACAGAGAGAGAGAGAGAGAGAGAGAGAGAGAGAGAGAGAGAGAGAGAATGAATACATGAATTATCTAGAGTGGAAGAGGGAACATCATTAATAATTTTTTTCAGACATTCAAAGGTCATCATAAACATTATAATAAATTCAATATAAATGAAAAAACAAATTTCCTGAGAATACAACTTAAGAGAATGTATACAAATTGAAATCTAAAAGCCCTATATCTTTTAAAGAAATTCAGTTCTTAACTGGGCATGGTGGCACACACCTGTAATCCCAGCTACTCAGGAGGTGGGCGAGCCTGAGCAATTAGTGAGATTATGTCTCAAAATTAAAAAAAAAAACATTAAAATAAAAAATTCAATCCCCAGCCCATAAAAAAGAAAAAGAAAATGTCAAGGCTCCTTAGTGAGGGGTGTAAAGAATTCAGTATGAGGGCTGGGGTTGTGGCTCAGTGGTAGAGTGCTCGCCAAGCACATGCGAGGCCCTGGGTTCGATCCTCAGCACCACATATAAAATAAATAAAGGAACTGTGTCAACTACAGTTAAAAAATACTTTAAAATAAAATAATAAAAAATTTAAAAATATTTTAAAAATTCAGTATAGAGTTTCAAAATGCCTCAAAACTTAGTCAAAACAAAAAGGAAGGGTCTGGGGTCATAGCTCAGTGGTAGAACAATTGCCTAGCATGTGTGAGGCATTAGGTTGGATTGTCAGCACCACATATAAAGGTCCAAAAGGAAGGAAATATGGAGAAACTTAAGTTCTTTGTATTAAAGGTTTTTTTAAACCTTTAATTAATTTACTTATCTTTATGTGGTGCTGAGGATCAAACCCAATGCCTCACTCGTGCTAGGCAAGTGCTCTACCACTGAGTTACAACCCAGCCCCTTTTTATTGTTTTTGTTTTGTTTTGATGGAGTGTTGCTTTCCTCACATAAACTCAATCATAAACATGTAAATAGTAGTTTGTTTTGAATTTTTAAATATTTTTACAAAAAATCTTAAGGAGCTCAGAATTTTCTTTTGTCTCCTACTTCACATTCATTTATTGTTTGCAAATCGAGGCTTAATAAGATCAGCCTAGACATTTTCAAGTATCTGCTAAACCCATATTCTTAAGAACTCAATCTTCCATCTATTAATAATGTATTAACAATCTAGGATGGGGAGGATGCCATCATGTACTCCCTGGAGGGCTCATCTGTATCTTTCCCCAAGGAACCCAGGCCAGGACAAGCTCAATAACTCCTCTGAGAAAGATCTCGCAACACATTCTCTAATGTTCACTTTTCAAATCTCCTCATCGGAAAGACAACAATTGTAAATATATGTGCTTAAGAGAGCTTGAAAATATTTTAGCAAAACCTGACAGAAGGAAACGGAAAATGCACAGCCTCTTTAGGTAACTAGCAGAACTATGATTTTAAAAATCAGAATAAATATCTAGCACCGAGAGTGTTGCTTGGTGGAAAGACCCTGAGACTCGACCCCAGACAACCCCAAACAAACAAATAATAAAATGGCAACGTCAACCATTTTAACATAACAGAACAGGAACTCTCACAATGGTAGTGTGTGACAGAGTGCTTGAGTGCTGACCCTTCTGGGAGCTGGAGCAACCTTTCAAGTCGTGTAGATTTTGCTGGGCTTTGCGAGTATTTTTTTTTTTTTGTAGTTGCAGATGGACAGAATGCCTTTCTTTACTTTTAATTTTTATGTGGTGCTGAGGCTCGAACCCAGTGCCTCACGCATGCTAGGCAAGAGCTTTGCCACTGAGCTACAGCCCCCGCTCTTTGCGGGTATTTTTATTGGGGTGTCTGATACATAGCCCCGCCCCGCTGGAGTAGATATACTGAACACACTGTACATATGTTAAGTGTCTGCAGGTAGCTGAGTTTTTCTAACCCTGGTAGGGAAACAATACAAACTCCTTCGCTCGTGTGGAGCGACTGGTCTTTCGGCTAGCTGGCCAGCCAGTTCTTCCCGACCCCCAGCAGCTGCGCTGGTCCCCACCTCCCGCCCCCACGCTTGCGCACTCTGTGCAGCTGGTAGGACTGGAGCCGGACTTTCCCTACGGCGGACTACACTTCCCACAAGCCCCTACGCGGTTTCCTTCCGGCTTCCCTGCTGCTGTCGGCTGGGAGAGGTGAGTTGGTCGCGTGCACTAAGGAAATGGGCGCGGGGGCGGCGCGGGGGCGGCGCGGACTTCTGTGTGAGTCGGGTTGCCGTGACTCTGGAGTTTTGTGACGCTGCCTGGGCACCAGGTGCCCTACTGCGCCCTCTGCCCTCCAGCTTCTGGGCCCACAGGCCCGGAATGGCTCCGAGTTAGGTATCTGAACCCCAGAGTGAAGGCCCCCAAACAAAAAGACGCAATCCTGAGAACCGCTGTACAGCTCCGGAGCACCGCGTTGACGGCGTTCCCTCCCTAGGAAGTCCATGAACTCAGACAGATTACAGTTTAGCTTGGGTGTACTGTGGCCTTTCTCACGGATCCTGAGTCTAGGCTGATCTTCATTTCCAGCGGCTTATGTGTGTGGAAGATGGTGGGAGTAGCAGTGGCTGCGGAGTTGGGTCCTGAGTCAGGGCTCCGAGGCCGGGCTCCAAGAAAGGCTCGATGTTTCGATTCTCATCTCTTTCCCAATCCTGATGGTCTTTAGGAAAGCGGAGGGAATGGTCGAAGTATTGTTGTTCATATATAAAAACATAACATCAATATTAATTTGTGTTTCTTCTTTCATTAAATGTTATTTTAATTTTTTCCAGGCATGGGATATTTTGCTTCCATCTTCTGGGAAAGAGCAAAATCCGAACGGACGGGGGCGGGGCGGAGGCGCAGGGAGAGCGGCTGCCTTGTCATGATCAGACTAGGAAAGAAGAGACAGCTAAAGCAAAATTAATAGAAAACATTATTTCCCCCTAGGTCATACCACAGTTGTTAAATACCATAAATACTCCCTCTTTAAAAGAGTATGACTTTCTTATGAATGATGCTCCAAATTGCTTTTTTTTTTTTTTTTTTTCCTGTGCGGCGTGTGGAATAGACAGAGGTTTATTTAGGAAGATTACATTCAAGGAAGAATGGGAAAATTCGGGCTGTGTGAGAAGCAGCTCTGACTTGGGCCAGGGGCTGCTTTGGTATTTTTATTTTGTAACTGTAAATACCAATTCCAGCCACCTCATATTAACACTCAGGCTAGCATTCAAATCTCCCAAGTAATCTCTGTTCTAATTTCATTTTAGAAACAGCAGCCATTCTAGATCCCCACTGCCCTTAGATCCTCTTTAGAATCCTTTAATGAGGTCTGGGGTAGAGCAGTTGCTTTCCATGCGTGAGGCCGAGTGCTATCCCCAGCATCACAAAACAACACAAGTATTAAAACCCCTTAGACAGTGCTTGATACAGTTAATTTAACTGTTACTCTTCTGTTGTAATTCTATATTTTTCTTCATGGTCTAGGTCCAAAACTTACAAGTATTTTGCTACATTTACTTTTATACATCCACATTTCCTCCTTGTGTAAATTGTTGATAATCTAGAATTGCCTATAAAGGTGATGCTTTGTAGTTTATTAATTAGCATAACAAAAAGAGCAAGGCTAAGAAGCCTATTTTTTATTGAGAGAGAAAAGAGCCAAAAAGAGTTTCTTTAATTATTATAGAGAAAAGGATATGTGGATTCTTTATCTTAAAAGATATAGCTGACTTTCATTAAATACTTTTTAATGAGACAACTTTAAGTGCTTTATTTGATATGTGTTACTTAGTCCACATGAGATCAAAGGTAGAAACTATTCTAAGCGTAATGTCGCAAGCGTGTAATCACAGTGTCCTGGGAGGCTGAGGCAAGAGAATTGTGAATTCAAATCCAGCCTCAGCAATTTAGAAAGGCATAGCAACTCTTCGAGACAATAAAATACAAAATAGGTCTGGGGATGTGGCTCAGGTGCGGGGGTATGCCAGGTTGTGGCTCAGTGGTTAAGTACCAGAGGAGTTCAATCCCAGCTACAAAAACAACAACTACAAAAAACCCTATAATTATCACCATTTTATTTAGAGGGACACTAAAATATTGAAAAGTAACAGATTAATAACTATTAGAGCTGAGGGTTTTATCCTGGGGGGGTCTGACAGCAAAGCATGTTAGTAATAGTATACTAGTATACCAAATCTCATCATTATGTATACTTAAAAAAAAATACTTCCTGCTTTAGCAACCCATCACCATGTGGGGAAAAATACCAGTTTTGATGATAAAAAAATTATGATCAAGGTATGTTCAGGTAATACTGAAGCTATGACATTGCCATGGTGGTAAATGTTATTTTTTACTGTAAGATATATGTCTTACAGTTTTTATTTATGTACTTTTAGAGAAAGGGTCTGGCTGTGTTGCCCAGGCTGGTCTCCAAATCCTGGATTCAAGTGATCCTCCCACCTCAGCCTCCTGATTGGTTGGGACTGAGGCCAGCTTACACTTTTTATTTTGCCGATGTTAAAAATGTGCAGGATGGGCTGGGGCTAGAGTTCATTGGCAGAACACTTGCCTAGCATGTGTGAGGCACTGGGTTCAATCCTTAGCACCACAATAAAATAAATAAATAAAAGAATTTAAAAAAAAAAAGGACAAGAAGCTTCAGCAGATGTCGTAGGGCTTCATAGGCATCTTAGCCTATAAAGGACTGGTTCAGAAGCAAAATAATCCCATTTGGCAGAAAAATGAGAAAGGAGGCAGCCTTATGTTATGTTGTACTATAGAGCTCTTGAATTTACTCCTCCTGTCTTAGAATTTGTATCCTTTGACCACCCGCCCCGGCAATACCCTCTACCTTCATCCATATTATAACAAATGAGAGGATTTTTTTTTCTTTTTGTAGTACTGAGCATTGAACCCAGGGGTACTCTACCACTGAATGGAGGGGCGGTGGCAGTATCAGGGATTGAACTCAGGGGCACTTGGCCACTGAGCCACATCCTCAGCCCTATTTTGTATTTTATTTAGAAACACTGACTTGCTTAGTGCCTTGCTTTTGCTGAGGCTGGCTTTGAACTCTCAATCCTGCCTCAGCCTTCTGAGCCACTGGGATTACAGGAATAAGCCACCACCCCCAACCATCCCCAGCCCTTTTATTTTTATTTTTTAATGTTTTTATTGTTGATGGATCTTTATTTTTTATTTATTTAAATGCAGTGCTGAGGATCGAACCCAGTGCCTCACACATGCTAGGCAAGTACTCTACCACTGAGCCACAACCGCAGGCCCCTTTTATTTTTTATTTTGAGACAGGGTCTCACTGATTTGCTGACATTGGCCTCAAAATTTCAGTCTTCCTGCTTCAGCCTCCCAAGTAGCTGGAATTACAGATGTAATTACAGTTGTTACCATACCTAGCAAGATATCCTCTTTACGGCTGAATGTTATTCCATTGTGTATATATATCACATTTAAAAATCCATTCATCTGTTGATGGACACATAGGTTGATTCCATATCGTGGCTTTTGTGAAGAATGCTATAATAAACATAGGAGTATGGCTACTGCTTCAAAATGCCAGTGTCTTTTCACTATATCCTCTTAGTATGATGACTTTTGGTTCTATTTTTAATTTTTAGTGGTGTCTCCATACTGCTTTCCATAATGAATATTCCAGTTTATTTTGCCACCAGTGTGAGGGCTCTTTTTCTCTACATCCTCTCCAGTACTTCTTATCTATTATTTTTTTGTGAGGTGAGAATCTTTATATATATATATATTTATATATATATATATATATATATATATATTTCTTTTCTTTTCTTTTTTTTTTTGGTACCAGGGATTGAACTCAAGGGCAATTGATCATTGAGCTATGGCTCCCTATTTTGGATTTTATTTAGAGTCAGGATCTCACTGAGTTGCTTAGTGCCTCACTTTTGCTGAGGCTGACTTTGAACTCGTGATCCTCCTGCTCAGGCTCCCGAGCTATAATTGGACCAATACCTTCATTTATTCATTTATTTTTATGTGGTGCTGAGGATCGAGCCTAGTGCCTCCCACGTGCTAGGTAAGGGCTTTACTGCTGAGCTAAAACCCCAGCCCTTGTTTGGCCATTTATATATTTTCTTTTGAGAAATGTCTATTTATGACTTTGCTCATTTTAAAATTTAATTGTATTGAGTCGTTTGAGATCCTAGTATATTGGATATTAACACCTTATTGGATGTACAGTTTGCAAATATTTTTTCCCATTATGTAGGTTATCTCTTTTAAAAAAAAATTTTTTTATAATTGTAGATGGACAGCATGCCTTTATTTAATTTGTTTATTTAATGTGGTGTTGAGGATCAAACATGTGTCTATTAGGCCCATTTGGTCTAGAGCATAGGTTAAAGCAGATGTTTCCTTATTGATTTTCTTCCTGTCCATTTCTGAGAGCAGGATTTTGAAGTCCTCCACTACTGTAGTCCTCGACTCCCTTCAGATCTGTCAATATTTGCTTTATATATTTAGGTACTCTGATGTTGGTTGCATATATGTTTATAATTGTTACATCCTCTTGCTAAATTAACTATTTTATCACTGTATGCTGACATTCTCTTTTTGCCATTTTTTATTTTGTTTTATTTCATTTGCATGAAATATCTTTTTCCATGCCTTCATTTTCAGTTTATAAGAGTTCTTGCAAGTTAAGTAAATCTCTTTAGGCAGTATATTGTAGCATTTTGTTTTTTTTAATAACTTCATCCATTGTGTGTCTTTTGATTTCTTTCTTTTGCTAGCTTCCTTTGTGATTAAGTCATTTTCCTCTAGTGGTATATTTTAATTCCTTGTTTTTTATATTTTGAATATCTACTCTAGGTTCTTCTTTTGTGGTTACCATGAAGCTTATTTAAAAAAAAAATCCTACAGCAGGTTATTTTAAGCTGATAACAGCTTACTTTTAATCCCAAAACAATCCCTCAAATCTTCACTTTTACTCTGATCCTCCCATTTTGAATTTTTGATGTTATAATTTAATGTTTTTACTGCATATCCCTGAAAATTATTGTAGCTCTTATTATTTTAATATCTTTCTTTTAACCTTCATGCTAAAGATATGATTTACATACCACCATTATAATTTTGAAGTATTCTGAGTTTGACCTTTTTAACCAGTGAATTTTATAGTTTCAGATGTGATAAATTCCTCCAGCTTTTTTGTTTGGTACTGGGGATTGAACCCAGGAGTGCTTAACCACTGAACCCTATCCCCAGTCATTTTTGAATTTATTTAGAGACAGAGTCTCATTAAGTTGCTTAGGGCCTCACTAAGTTGCTGAGGCTGGTTTTGACTCACCATCCTCCTGCTTCAGCCTCCTGAGCTGCTGGGACTACAGGCATGTATCACTGCACCTGGCTTTCCCTGAGCTTGTTTGTCTGTGAAAGTCTTTATCTTGCTCTCAATTCTGAGGGATACCTATGGTGAGCATAGTGTTATTGGTTTATAGGGTTTTTTCCTTTAGCACTTTGAATATATCATCAAATTCTCTCCTGGCATGTAAGGTTTTGTTGAGAAGTCTGCTACTAGCCATATTGGAACTCCCTTATATATTATTTGCTTCTTTTTTCCTGCTGCTTTCAGTCTCCTCTCTTTGTCTTTCATATTTGATAGTTTGATTATAGTGTTTATGGTAGTCTTGTCTGGGTTGAATCTGGTTGGTTAATTTTGACCTTCCTATCCTAAGGTATTTACAGTTTCTTCAGGTTTGGAAAGTTTTTCTGCTACTGTTTCCTTTCCCCTTCTTTCTTTCATTTTTTTTCCCTTTTTGTTTTGGGGTACTGGGCATTGAACCGAGGGCCTTACACATTCTGACCATACTCTACCGCTGAGCTATGCCCCCATCCCTATTACTTTTTGAAGTAAGTTTTCTACTTATTTCTCTCCTCCTTTAATTTCTTTGACTAAAACATTTGCTCTTCTGCTGTTGTCCTGTAAACTCTGTAAAGCTTTCTTTGTTCCTTTTCATTTTTCTTCTTTATCCTGTAGTTATACATTTTCAAATAACCTGTCTTTGAGTTCTCAGATTCTTTCTTCTGCTTGATTAGTTCTCAGGTTGGTGCTCCTTTGTTCTATATTTTATTTCCTCCATTTTATTTTTCAGTTCCAGGATTTCTTCTTTTTAATCATTTCAAACTCTATATTAAATTTCTCCTTTTGGTCACTTATTGTTCCTTTGTTTCATTATTGTTTCCTTGGTCGATTTGTCTCTTTTCATTTTCTTGAAGTTTGGTGTGCTTCCTTAAAACAGTTAATTTAAATTCTTTGTTAGGCATCACATCTATGTCCATTTCTTTAGGATCAGTCATTGGTTCTTTATTTTGACATTGGTAATGTCCTGTTTCCTTGGTTTTTCTTGATTCTTATTTCCTTCTGTCAGTGTCTGCATTTGAAGAAGTAGGTACTTATTCTAGTCTTGAGAGATGGCCCTTCAATAGTTAGCCCATCTGGAGATTTGGTGTGTCTGTTGTGATCTCAGCCTCAGCCACTACAGTGGGCGTGGAGCTTGGATGTGCCAGAAGCCTGGATCTTCTGTGCCTGGCCCAGTGTTGGATTACGCCAGAAGCTACTCTGTAGCGGCATTGCCCACAACTGAAGCTTCAGGCTATGGTGCTAGCACTATGCCGGGGTACACTAGAAGTCTGGAGCCTGCTGTGGCTGTCATGGCACTGTGGCTTTCTTGAAGTGAGAGGCCACTGAGTCCTGCCTGCTGCTGAGGGGTGTGCAGGGTCTGGGCCCATTGATGTTGTGCTGATGGTGGTACAGGCTGAAGATCATGTCCACCCGGTAAGCCTGAAACCATTGCTGGTTTTATTGTAGTTGGATTCCAAGGCAAAGTTCAGTGCTTATTTTTTTTTCTTTCCCTCAGGGAGATAATATCTCTCTGTGCCATATTACTTGGAGTTGGGGAAGGGGAAACACAAGTTATGTAAAACTATCCTTGCTACCCTGTTCATTGTGTCTTTTCTTATTGTTATGCTACAACCAATTATGGTGATTTAGCTCATGGTTTCCTAGCGCATGTGAAAGTATTTTTATTTGTATATAGTTGTTCTAATTGATGTTTCTGTAGATTGCTAGAGAGATATACTGGACCATCTTGTGAACTGAAGTTTTGTGAGTTTTTTTCCTTTCTTTCTTTTTTCTTTTTTTTTTTTAGGGAAATGTTCATGCTCAGACTTCTCTGAGTGAAGTAGAAAACCTGTCCATCAGAACCCAAAACCAAAGTTGGAAGAGAACTTGCATTTTACTTAGAGAATGTGCATTCAAAACAAACATCTTCCACTTGACTGGTTTGACTTCTGAGCAAAAGTATGCTGAAAGGCAAAAACTACATTATGTCATGATACTGAGGATTAATTTACAAATATTTATGAAGTACCCATCACATAGATTCTCAGTGAAAAAATGATGTTGACTAATTGTAGGAATCATGATTCTTCTCCTCCCCAGTCTGGATACTTAAACAGGATGTCCTGATTGGGAAACTGGAGTGATGAGTTGTCCTTGCTAGGGAAAGGAAGTGCAGTTTTATAATGGAAGCAGTTGCCAGGTTCAATCTGTGTGATTTTTTTTAGTCTTTTCTCTTTAGGAAGTTCTAGTCCAATTTTGGGACCAGATTTACATTGCTGAATGGAGATCAGAAATCCTCCTGTAGAAGTATCTGGACTTCTATACCAAATCCATCATCATTCATTTGGATTTTTTCAAGGCTTATATTTCTTCAAACTCCCCATATTCTCCTCTAGTTTTGTGTGGCTGTGGGGTATCTCTGGGTAGAGTATAGGAAGTTGTTGGAAGTTGGAATGGAAGAAAAAAATGTTCATATTAAAATAAGTTATTTGGAACTATCTTGCCTTTAATTTCACATAAATATTAAAGTTTAAATTTTAAGGTAGTTTTATGAAATATTTTATAAATATATGCAATGAATGAGCAGTTAATTTTTTGTTTATGTGAATCATTCATTAATGTTCCTTCTTTTTCTGGTAGCTCACACTTTTATTTTAATAAATATTATTTTGGATTAAGTAACTAAAAAAAAATAAGTTATTTGGTCTGGTCTTACAGCTCCTTTTTTTTCTTCTAGCTCTGGTTTGTTTTGACTCTGGAGTTCTCCAACAGAAATATTGAAAAGGACTAAACCAATTCTTGCCGTTCTAAAACCATGGCCCATGTAAGTTAATGTTTCTCTTTCCTTTTTGAAACATCAAATTTCCATATTATTTCTAGAGTGATCAGTCTAGATCAATTTCTAGATCATCTGTACATATTCATTTCTTTTTCTGAATCTTCTGATTTAACAGAACTCCATCCAAGAACCTGCTCCAATTTCTCTCATTCCTGAGAGGACTGGGGACAGAGAACCCATCCATGCCTTCCCTTCTTCACTAGTGTTGACCATCACCCATCTTCAGAACCTTCTGTCAAAAGCAAAAGTGGAATGCCTTGAGAAAATATAGTACTTTCTCTGCAGAATGTCCCTCTTTTAACATTTTCCATTGGAATGACTTTTGATTTTAATTCTTAAACTTCAGAAAAAATGTATTTCCCTTAATACAATGATTTTTGATCTAGCTTTATATAGAAAAACTTATGTCTCTGGTTTGTGGAATTTTCAAAAAGTAAGGATGTTTCATGGAATTTAGCATATAAACAGAGAAGCATATAAATCTTAAGTGTTGAGCTGAATGAATTTTCTTAAATTGAGTACATTTATGATTCCAGATCAAGAAAGGAGTATTACTAGCACCTCAGATGCCCCTCTTTCAGTCACTCCTTATATAACCACCATCCTGACTTTGAACATCGCAAAGTAGTTTTGCTTATATTTAGAACTATAAATGGAGTCATATAGTTCATTGGTATTTTTTAAAATACTAATCTTTTAAAACAAAAACACTTCCTGGAAGAGTCTAGTTGTATTCCACATGTAATTGCTAGACCACCAGAATCACCTATAGATGTTTTAAAATATATGTGTCATTAAAGGAAATGTGTGTATCTGATGCTGCTGGTGGTAAAGTAGGCACCTGAGCATTAGATGAATGTGGGTCATTCCTACTATTATGTCCTTGTTGGAAATTTTTTTCATAGTGTATTGCACATGTTAAGCCCTTGGTTTTTTCCTAGCATAAAATGAGGGGTTTTTTTAAATTTATTTTTTAGTTGTAATTAGACACAATACCTTTATTTCACTTATTTATTTTTATGTGGTGCCGAGGATCGAACCCAAGGTCTTGCACATGTGAGGCGAGTGCTCTACCGCTGAGCCACAACCTCAGCCCATAAAATTAGTTTTTTAAAGGTTGGAAACAATTGAAAATTATGGAGAAAGATGCAAAGCAAATGAGAAATATTAATTTAGTAAAAAAGTCTAAAGATGATGTATAAGCTCTGACCCACTATTTATTACAATTCTGTGTTGGAGGAAAATCTTGTGAAGCTAATTGGAAGGTTGAAATTAACATATAATGTATTATTAATCTCTAATTTAAAATGATGGAAAAATAGATAACTGGTTAATAATATATTAGAATGTCTGATTTTTAGGAATGGATTACTGATAGTGTTTTGAATATTCCTTGAATATCTGTGGTTTGATGAAAGAGATAATTTGTACCTATTTGATTTTTTATGGGAAAAACTCTAAACTCCTCCACTGAGCTGAATTTTTAAAGTATATAAGATAGGATTTAAGCATTGACTGATCTCAATTTCTGTATGTGTTGAGATTTTTTAAGATTGGATGGGTTGGATAGGGATGTAATTGAGACCTTACATGGTAGAACCTAAAATGCCGTGTACTGTCTTTTTTCTCTTTTTGGTGGTAGTGCTAGGGATTGAACCCATGGCATGGAGCATGGAAGGCAAGTGCTCTACCACTGAGCTACACCACAGTCCCAGCCCTGCATGTGCTGTCTTGACATCTTTGTCAAGTCTTCAAAGGTTTAACCATGAAGGCCCTGCTCACACCAGATATGCCCGTTTAACCAGTGGAAAAGTCTTCCTTCCTAGCTAGTTCCTCTATCAGCTGGACAAGTTATACCCCTTGTTGTCCTCAGATTCCCCCCCGCCCCTGGCTGCCCATGGAATTATTCAGACAAGCCAGTCATATTCTCCTATGGAACCAGAGAACACCTCATCCTTTTTAAAAGCCTAGCTTCCTCCCATTGCCCCTGTTCTCTTTATTTCTGAATGTAACCCCTGTGGCCCTCTATGAAGTGTGACATCTTCCCTCAGACTATGAGTATATATGAATAATAAATTGCTGTCAGTCTCATCTGTCTAGCCTCTGCTTGTTTGTCTATCTAGTGCTTTTTTAGGATAGATCACCTCTCACCACTAGGGTGAGTGGATGGTGAATGAAACAGGGCTGCAAATAGAAAGATCAAGAATCATTTCTGATGACTTTCTCCGGAAAGAATAATGTCAGGAACAAAGTCACTGAGTATTTTTATAGGATGTGCTGATCTAGATCAGAATTTTTCAACATTGGGACTATTGACATTTTGAGGCAAGAGAATCCTTTATTTTAAAAGGATTATTCTGTATATTGTAGGTTGTCTTACAATATTCCTGGCATTTACCCACTAAGTGTCAGTAACATCACATCCCTTCCTCTGAGTTGTGACAAAAAAAATATCTCCAGATATGCGTGTGTGTGTGTGTGTGTTTGTATGTATTATTTATTTATTTTTTAGTTGTAGTTAGACACAATGCCTTTATTTCACTTATTTATTTTTTTATGTGGTGCTGAGGATCAAACCCAGGGTCTCGCATGTTCGAGGCGAGCACTCTACCACTGAGCCACAACCCCAGCCCTATCTTTTTTTTTTAAGTATTTATTTTTTAGTTATAGGTGAACACAATGTCTTTATTTTACTTTAAGTGTTGCTGAGAATTGAACCCATGCCTCATGCATGCTAGGTAAGCACTCTACCTCTGAGCCACAACCCCAGCCCTGACCAGATGTCTTTTGGGTAACAAAATCACTCCTGGGGGGGCTGGGGTTGTGGCTCAGTGGTAGAGTGCTCACCTAGCACATGCGAGGCCCTGGATTCGATCCTCAGCACCACATAAAAATAAATAAATAAAGGTATTGTGTCCAACTAAAAAATAAATATTTTTTAAAAAAAATCACTCCTTGTTGAAAACCACCAGTCTGTAGTGTTCTCTTTACCATATCTTTATGATTCAGAATTCTGTAACTCAGGAACAAAAAAGATGCTCAGTGAGAGCTGATATAAAGATTAAGAAGGTTATTCAAAAGCATAAATATTAGATGTTATAGATAATAAAAGAGAAGACTTTTGAGATTACACTGAATTCAAACATCTGAATTTTAAAAAGAAAACCAAATATATTCAAAATGAGGACTACTATGTAACAAATTTTGAAAAGTTTACTTAAGAATTGGTTGGAACATGGGAAAGGTTTAATAAAATCTGACTTTGTGTGAACTTGAGGCTTCTTAGAGGTTTTAAAGTACATTTGGGAGAAATTTTGTCAATTTTTTTTCATAACTATTAAAGGGATAAGAGGGTAGAAGACCTCATTCAAATTTCTTTAGAATTTATAGTGGAAGCAAAAGGCTTGTGTGCGTAATTTAAAGATTTTTTTTGGTTATTTGTTCATTTCCAGATATTTTTGGATAAAAATTTAATCTTTTCTGTAGCCACAGCATTATTCAAGAACATATAGACACTGCTTTTTAGATGCTAATTTTCATGCTGTCCCCTACATACATCATAAGTTTTCAGCCTTGTGCTATGTACATGCTATGTAGTTCTCACTGTACCATGTAATCATGAGTCTTTTCTCTTTTCATTTAAAGAATACTTAATCTATTTCCACAAGTAATCCATGAGTTTATATTTCAGGGTTCAGTGACATTCAGGGATGTGGCCATAGACTTTTCACAGGAAGAATGGGAATTCCTGGACTCTGCTCAGAGGGACTTATATAGGGACGTAATGTGGGAGAACTACAACAACTTCCTCTCACTAGGTAAGAGTATCCCAAAGGAAATTAACTTTTTTTACTCTCTATTTCAGGACATATTTTGAAAATCTAGCTATATTTTTTACTGTCTGTTTTTAAAAAGAATGGTTTAGGATTTGTTAAATTGGAAATGAGCCCCTTCATTTAACATGAAATCATTCTCAGCCTGCTGTGTTTTTCACACTTTCTTCAGACTCTATTTCTTGGTTTCCTTAGTATTCCAGGAGCTGAATTTGAATATGGCAGAATATTGCCCAAGAAACCAGATTTCACATTGTATGTGAGCTCAGAGTTGACATAGTTGCTTCATGTTCCTTTCTAATCTTTCTGCATGGAGGATATTCAGATGTGGGGCTTCTGAGTTTCCCTAAAACTCAAAACTTCTGAGTTTCCCTAAAACTCAAAGGAGTTGAGAAAGAAAGACAGGAAAAGAGAAATGTTCCTTGCATCTGTTTGCATTTAGGCATTATTGAGTACTATTTTTATTTATAGTTAACGGTAAATTTATAGAAACAAATCTGAATGTAAGAACTTTTAGGTTTATAATTTCACTTGACATTTTTCTTTTAAGCAGGACCTTCTGTTTCTAAACCAGATATGATTACCTTATTGGATGAAGAAGGAATGGTCGTGAAGGAAAGAATAAAAAGATCTTGCCCTGGTGAGTAAGAACTGAGCAGATATGGAGAAATCGTTACTGCAGGTGATAGCTAAGCTGGCTAGGCTGGTGACACACTCTCCCCCAACCCCAGGGGCGCTTAACCACTGAACCACATCCCCAGCCCTTTTTTGTATTTTATTTAGAGACAGGGTCTCACTGAGTTGCTAAGTGCCTCACTTTTGCTGAGGCTGGCTTTGAACTCACATCCTCCTCCTTCAGCCTCTCAAGCCTCTGGGATTACAGGCATGCGCCACCACACCCGACTTGGTGGCACACTCTTGAGAATTTGTTGGGCATATCTTTAAAAGCCCACAGCCTGTGAGGGAAAAGCTTGAGACCTGAAGCAAATTAAGATCTTTATAAAGCAACTTTGTATTGACTTTGATTACACTATTCCTAATCTCCCTTATTTCCTCTCACTTCAAAGAGAAGAGCTATTCTCAGTAAGGAAAAAACTGAAAAGAACCAAAAGAATAATATATATAAGGGCAGAAATCAACAAAATGGAAAAAGTATAGAAATTTAATAAAGCCAAAGTTGATTTCTTGAGAAGATCAACAAAGATAAACACCTGGAGAACATAAATTATTAATATCAGGAATGAAAAAGGGGTTTTTCACTCACATCTTATAGCTATTAAAAGAATAAGAAGAGCCAAGAGCTGGGTGTGGTGGCACATGCCTGTAATCCCAGCAGCTCAGGAGACTGAGGCAGGAGGATTGTGAGTTCAAAGCCAACCTCAACAACTTAATGAGGCCATAAGCAACTTAGTGAGATCCTGTCTCTAAATAAAATATAAAAAGGGCTGGGAAGCCTGGGGTTGTAGCTCAGTGATAGAGCGCTTGCCTAGCACGTGTGAGGCACTGGGTTCAATCCGAAGCACTACATAGAAATAAATAAATAAAATAAAGTAATTGTGTCCATCTATAACTAAAGTCAATTTTTTTTTTTTAATAAAAAAGGGCTGGGGGGGCTGGAGATGTGGCTCAAGCGGTAGCGCGCTCGCCTGGCATGCGTGCGGCCCGGGTTCAATCCTCAGCACCACATACCAACAAAGATGTTGTGTCTGCCAAGAACTAAAAAATAAATAATAAAAATTCTCTCTCTCTCTCTCTCTCCTCTCTCACTCTCTCTTTAAAAAAAAAAAGGGCTGGGAATGTGGTTCAGTGGTTAAGCACTCTTGGGTTCAATCCCTCGTACCAAAAAAAAAGAATAAGAAGATAATTCCATGAATAACTTTATACCAGTAAGTTTGATAGCTTGAATGAAATGTAAGATTCCTTGAAAAATACAGCTTACCAGAACTGACATCATAAAAAAGAAAACTAATAACCTTATGTCTATTTAAAGTAATTGAATTTGTTGTCAGAATTCTTTCCACAAAGAGAATGCCAGACCCAGATGGCTTTACTGGTATATTCTATTAATATTTAAGGAAGAAATAACAGCGTTGTTATATAAATATCCTCAGAAAAGAAACACTTCTCAACTCACTTTATTAGGCCAACATAACTTGACAAAGAAATAACAGCATTGTTATATAAATATCCTCAGAAAAGAAACACCTCTCAACTCACTTTATTAGGCCAACATAACTTGACAAATTATTAAAAAAATTTGTACACTCATATTCTCAAGTACATACGTGTAAAATTCTTAACAAAACTTTAGCAAATCAAATCCAGCAATATATAAAAATGTTGATCAGGGCTGGGGTTGTGGCTTAGCGGTAGAGTGCTCGCCTCACAAGTATGAGACCCTAGGTTCGATCCTTGGCACCCCATACAAAAATAAACAAGTGAAATAAAGGTGTTGTGTCCAACTACAACTAAAAAATTAAAAAAAAAAATGTTGATCAAGTGGACCTTATCCATACTTAATTAATGCAAGCTTGGTTTTTAACATTCAGAAATTTTCTGTGTAATTTCACCACTTTAAAAGGAAAACGAGAGAGATTATATGTTCATCTCTATAGATATAAATATACCATGTGGGGCTGGGGCTGTAGCTCAACAGCAGAGCACTTGCCTAGCATGCATGAGGCACTGGGTTTGATCCTCAGCACCACATAAAAATAAAGAAATAAAATAAAGGCATTCTGTCCATCTACAACTACAAAAAAATTAAAAATAAATAAATATACCATATGACAGAATTCAACATCTAGATCTGATAAAAACTCTCGGCAAACTAGAAATTAAAGGGAACTCCCTTAATCTGAAAAAAGGCATCTGGTAAAAAAAAAAATACTATATTATAAACTTCATGATACTTGATTGAAGAATTTCTACATAGGATTGGATATAAGGCAAAGATACCCACTCCTCCCACATCTATTTAACATTAAATTGGAAATTTAAATTTAATTCTAGCCAATGGAATAAAATAAGGAAAGTTAAAAGATATAAAAATGCCCTTAAGTACATGTATGAAGACATGAATGGTGTGAATATACTTTATATACAAACAGAGATATGAAAAATTGAGCTTTATATGTGTGATATGAATTATAATGCATTCTACTGTCATATATAACAAATTAGAATAAAATAAATAAATAAATAAAAGATACAAAAATGAAGAAGTAAAGGTCTATATTTGGAGATGGCACAATTGTATACATGAAGAATCCTAAGAAATCAAAACAACAACTGTGGGCGGCTCAGTGGAGAGCACTTGCCTAGCATGTGTGAGGCTCAGCCTCACTAAAAATAAATATATCGGGTTCATCTATATATTTAAAAAAAAAAAAAGGAAAAACAATGGTAAAAAACAACTGTTTAGGCTGGGCACCGTGGCACACGCCTATAATCCTAGTGACTGGAGAGGTTAAGACGGGAGAATCAAGAGTTCAAAGCCAGCCTCAGCAATGGCGAGGTGCTAAACAACTCAGTGAGACCCTGTGTCTAAATTGAATACAAACATCAGCTGGGGATGTGGTTCAGTTTAATCCCCTGTACCAAAGAAAAAAAAAGAGAGGAAAAAAAATAATGACAGTGATTCAACCACCTGACTAAAAGAAAAAAAAAAAAACTATTCAGAGTATTAAATGAAGATCATAGTAACATCATAGGGTTCAAAGTTAATATTAAAAAAATCAAATGTGTTTTATATAATAGGAGCAACAAAACAAATTAGAAAATTAAATAACTCAATCCATAATAGCATCAAAATCCATAAAATACTTTGATAAAATGTGCAAGACCCCTGCATAGAAAACTATGCGACAGTGTTAAGAAAAATTAAAGAAGGCCTAAATAAATGGAACTCAGCATTGCAAAAGTTCAATACAATTTTAACCATAACCCTAGCCGGCTTCTTTGGTTTGGAAATTAACAAGCTGATTCTATTTTTATGGTACTAGGGATCAAACTCAGGGGTGCTCTACCACTGAGCTACATCTTTAACCCTTTTTATTTTTTAGTTTTTGAGACAGGGTCTGGCTAACTTGCCCAGGCTAGACTTGAACTTTCAATCCCCCTATTTTAGCTTCCTGAGTTGCTGGGATTACAGGTGTGTGCCACCTCACTTGGCAGCCAGCTGATTCTAAACATATTTGGAAATACAGAGGACTGACTTAGCATGTTTGAAAGTAATCTAGAAAGGTGGAAGAACTTATTATAGAACTTAAATTATATGGGCTGGGGTTGTGGCTGAGTGGTAGAGCACTTGTCTAGCATGTGTGAGGCACTGGGTTTTGGTCCTCAGCACCACATAAAAATAAATAAGTAAAATAAAGGTATTGTGTCCCTCTACAACTAAAAAATTATTTTAAAAAAAGAACTTAAATGATATGACTTTAAGATACTCCAAAATTTATTATAAAACTACAATAATCAAGACATTGTAATCAAGACTTTGCCATAAGGATAACGAACAAAACGGGAACCCTAGAATTAGACCTCCACCCCCTGACACACGTACACTTAAGAAGCCCACTTATTTATTCATTTAAAATATTTTTATTAGTGATAGATGGACACAATATCTTTGTTTTATTTGTTCATTTTTATGTAGTGCTGAGGATCAAACCAAGTGCCTCACACATGCTAGGCAAGTGCTCTACCACTGAGCTACAGCCCCAGCCCAAGATTTCATTTTTGAGAGTCATTAAATAAAGAAATCAATCATTATATTGGTATATAATTTTGATAAAATAGGAGTTTTCTAGTTCTAGGAGAAAACAAATTGTTATTCCTCCTCAAAGAACATCGATAAAAATATAATCCAGTTTACTTGCCATCTCTTATGCTTCTGGGATCTCTTGGGGGAGATCCACTTGTCCTGTTTCCTCAGAAAAGTTCATCACCCAAAACAGTGGCAGCACTTCCTCTAGCAGGTCCTAACATATTACAGCATAGGAGTGGTTTTATAGCCTGACCTCTGTGGCTATCTTGGTGAGACATCCTCTAGACCTTCTATTATGGAGTCAGCTAGTGACACCCTAATAAATAAGGACTGAGCCATCTAATTTCAATGAGACTGACCTGGATTTAGGGGTCAATAGTCCAAGTTTATCAATGGTAGCTGTATCTTTGTGAGTACAACACCCCAACAAAAATTTCTCACCAGTCCTTGTTAAATATACCTAAAAGCCAATTACATATTTGTATTCAAAATATGTTACTCCTTAATTCAAATTATTGTATTAGTATTATATTTCATCAAGCCATACACACACACACATATATAAAATGCATTTTTATCATTTTTTCGGGGGAGGGGTACCAAGAATTGAACTCAGGGGCACTTAACCACTAAGCCACATCCCCAGACTTATTTTGTATTTTATTTACAGACGGGGTCTCACTGGGTTGCTTAGGGCCTTACTTTTGCTGAGTCTGGCTTTGCACTCACTATCCTCCTGCCTCAGTCTCCCAAGCTGCTGGGATTACAGGCACATGCCACTGTGCTGGGCCACTTATATCTTTGACCAGCAGGCTTTGTCTAATCTCAATAGTAATACGGTGACTAAAGAAAATCATTGCTAGTTGATTTTTGGAAAGAAGTATATATGGACAAAGAGCAAAAATTATTTCAAATTCATAAATACTTTAGAACAAAAATAAAGAGATAGGATATGGGTGACTTAGGGCAAGAGGCACTTTACATCTGTTTTAAAAAATAGATTTCATTTTCTAGAGCAGTTTTAGGTTCGCAATAAAATTGAACGGAAGGCACAGAGATTTCCATATATCCCCTGAGAACTGCATTCCTTTTTTTATAAGTTGATTTCATGAGAATTGACATCTTTTTTGATTAGATATTTTTGTGATAATATTTTTTAAATACTTTTAAAAGTCTGGTTGATAATGAATATAAAATTTAAGTACATCATAATTCACCCTGACTGGTGGCCAGTTCTTGGAATGTTAACAAAAGCATATAGTTGTGGAACTATAAAGTTTCAAAATGATTCCAGGGTTTTTTTTTAATATTTTTTCTAGTTGTCAGTGGACCTTTTTTTATTTATTTACATGTGGTACTGAGAATCGAACATGCTAGTCAAGTGCTCTGCCGCTGAGTGACAACCCCAGCCTGATTCTAGAATTTCTTTATAACACCAGTGTTTCCTAAGTTAAGCCTAACTTTTGAGCTAATAAATAAATTATTATCATGATAATGAAATAACCATATATTCCTTTTTAAAAAAATATTTGGTATTCTTTATTTATTTGGTCCTGGGAATTGAACCCAGGGGCACTTTACCAATGAGCTACATCCCAGCCCTTTTTATTTTTTGAGACAAGGTCTCACTAGGTTGTTCATAGCCTCACTAAGTTGTGAGACTGGCTTTAAACCTGTGATCCTCTTTCCTCAGCCTCCAGAGCCACTGGGATTCCAGGCTGTGCCACTGCACCTAGCTAGTACTTTTAAATATGAAGAATCACTACTGAATTAATGTCATATATCTTATAGAAATAATCATAATGTTTTTTGTTTTAAAAGTAATTAATATGACAAAATAATTATAGTACATTTCCTAGAATTGAACTACCCCTGCATTCTAGAATAAGCCAACTTAATTATGATAAACTTACTTTCAGTGTGCTATAGGAATTTTTATTTTTTTGTACCAGGGATTGAACCCAAGGGTACTTAACCACTGAGCCATATCCCCAGCCCTTTTATTTTTATTGTGAGACATAGTCTCACTAGGTTGCTTATAGCCTCCCTAAGTTGCTGAGACTGGCTTTGAACCTGCAATCCTAGAGATGAGATTTGTTTTTTTTGAGGGGGGTTCACAAAAGTGATTTTGGCATATAGCTTTCCTTTATTAGGATTTGACTTCATTTTTATACTCACTTAGAAATAATTTGGATTTTATTATTTTTCGGAATAGGCCCTTTCTCATGACTTTCTCAATGCTTTCTTAGAAAATTACCCTTTATTGAGATTGTAAGTCCTCTATGATTTTCAGAATATCAAATCTGTTTTGGTAGTTATTTGCTAATATCAAGAACTGAAATTTAAATGGCTGGGGTTATAGCTCAGGGGTAGCGCACTTGCCTAGCATATGTGAGGCACTGGGTTCGATTCTCAGCACCACATATAAATAAATAAATAAAATAAAGGTCCATCAATAACTACACATATAAAAAAAGAAGAAGAAGAACTGAAAGGTTTGCAACTTTACCCTGCTTGCAAGCTAACAAGTTAGTCTGCCACTGTATCAAGATGCTGGCAAAAGACACAGTTGCACTTAGTGACTCAGTGAGAACCTGTCTCTAAATAAAATATAAAAAGGGCAGGGGATGTGACTCAGTGGTCCAGTACCCCTGAGTTCAACCCCTGGTACCCAAAAACTTACAAATAAACAAAACCTCTTTATAGCTTAAATAAGTCTCTAGATGATTCTTAGCCACACTTAAATCAGGGCTCCACTGATTTGACTTGTTTCCCTAATCACTAGCCACACCTCCTGCACTCCTGGGCTCTGTTCTCTTGTGTCCTTTGTCTTTTGTCAAAATGTACGAGAATTCAACCTGTTCTATGATATAAATTCACTTAGTAGTGATCAGGAATAATAGCAGTATCATGTAGAAGATAATTCACAGGTAATTCTCCTACTTAAATGGGGATACACATGTAGAGATTTAGAAGAGTCAGCATGAAAGGCAAAAGCCTTCAACTTGACAGGGTCTTGCTAAGTTGCTTAGGGCCTCACTAGCTGGCCTTGAACTTGAAGTCCCCCTGCCTCAGCCTCCCAAGTTGCTGAGATTACATGCATGCACTACCACACTCAGCAAGTCAGGCTGCATTTCACCCTACTCCTACCTCAGGGGCTTTTCCTCTTCTTTCCTTCTCTTTCTTTCCCTCCCTTCCTTCCTTCCTTCCTTCCTTCCTTCCATTCCCTCCCTATACTGCCCAGGTTGGCCTTAGTGGAGCTGGGACTATAGGCACATACCACAGTGCCCAACTCAGAGCTTTATTTTCACACATGCAAGTGCCTCAGCACTTTGACATCCAGAGTTTCTGTTTTGCTTTTGTGCATTCCAGTGTTCATAAAGTGGGCTTCAACCATAGTGATCTGTCTTTTGGGTTATCCCTTGAGATATGAACTATTTGTTAGTATTCTCCTAATAAAATTGTATAGAGCTGAGTGGTCTGCTCCAATCCATTTCCTTATAAACTCAGTTACTTTTGCTGCACAGTTTTGTTGAAGATGAACATACGTTTGCTTTCTTGTTTTCTTTCAGATTTGGAATCCAGATACAGGACCAATACTTCATCTCCAGAAAAGGACATTTATGAAATATATTCGTTACAGTGGGAGATAATGGAAAGAATTAAAAGCTATACCCTTCAGGACTCCATTTTTAGAAATGATTGGGAATGTAAAAGCAAGATTGAGGGACAAAAAGAACCACAGGAGGGTTATTTTGGGCAGGTGAAAATTACCTCTGAAAAAACAACCACGTACAAAAAGAATAATTTTCTTGCTGAGTATCAGAGAATTCATAATGGAGAAAAATTATATGAATGTAAGGAGTGTAGTAAGACCTTTATTCGTCGATCAACACTTAGTCAACACCTACGAATTCATACTGGTGAGAAACCTTATAAATGTAAAGAATGTGGACAGGCCTTTAGACAGCGTGCACACCTTATTCGACATCACAAACTTCATACTGGTGAGAAACCCTATGAATGTAAGGAATGTGGGAAGGCCTTTACTGTGCTCCAAGAACTCACTCAACATCAGAGACTTCATACTGGTGAAAAACCTTACGAATGTAAGGAATGTGGAAAGGCCTTCAGAGTACATCAGCAACTGGCCCGGCATCAGAGAATTCACACTGGTGAGAAACCCTATGAATGTAAGGAGTGTGGGAAGACCTTCAGACAGTGTACACACCTCACTAGACATCAGAGACTTCACACTGCCGAGAAGCTCTATGAATGCAAGGAATGTGGGAAAGCCTTTGTATGTGGCCCAGACCTTAGAGTACATCAGAAAATTCATTTTGGTGAAAAACCCTATGCATGTAAGGACTGTGGGAAGGCCTTTAGAATATGCCAACAACTTACTGTTCATCAGAGTATTCATACTGGTGAGAAACCCTATGAATGTAAGGAATGTGGAAAGACTTTCAGATTAAGGCAGCAACTTGTTCGCCATCAGAGAATTCATACTCGTGAGAAACCCTATGAATGTATGGAATGTTGGAAGACCTTTAGTAGTTACTCCCAACTTATTTCACATCAGAGCATTCATATTGGTGAGAGACCCTATGAATGTGAGGAATGTGGGAAGGCTTTCAGACTGCTGTCCCAACTCACTCAACATCAGAGTATTCATACTGGTGAGAAGCCCTATGAATGTAAGGAATGCAGAAAGCCTTTTAGACTGCTCTCACAACTCACTCAGCATCAGAGTATTCACACTGGAGAGAAACCTTATGAATGTAAGGATTGTGGTAAGGCTTTCAGACTTTATTCATTTCTTACTCAACACCAGAGAATTCACACTGGGGAGAAGCCCTACAAATGTAAGGAATGTAAGAAGGCCTTCAGACAACATTCACACCTTACTCAACATCAGAAGATTCATAATGGAATTTAATACAAGAAAGCTTTCAAATGTGCATTTTGTTACAAAACACCAGTAAATCCATTTTTGAGAAAATACACTTACAACTAAATGTAAGAAATTTTCTATTAGGGAAGGAATGTGTTGCTTTGAGCCTTCCATCACCCTTCAAACATTGTTTATCTTCAGCAAATTCCTTTGAGAGAATAATTTAATGAATGTAGGAAAATGTTTAGCTTTTATCTCTCATCTCCATTTTGCCACTTTACTACCATTGTGATATTGAAAAAGATACTAAACTTTTGTGCTCATTTTTAAAATTATGATAGTAGTACTTATTTATTGCTGTGTGATAAATGACTAGAAAACATAGTAGCTTAAAATAATATACATAGGTTATTTCACAGTTTCCATGGATCAGGAATCCAGGCATGACTTAGTTGAGTCCTTGTAGTTACAAGGTTACAAAGTTTCAGCCAAGACTAAGGATCCGTATCCAAGCCAACAATGCTTGAATTCATTTTCTTGAGGGCTCTTGACGGAGATCCTCAGTTTCTAGTTGACTACTGGCTGAAGCTGACGGAAGTTCCTTGCTAGAGCCACCTCTTCACATGACTACTTCATCAAAGTGTGCAAGCCAAGAAGGCACCTACTAGCAAGAGGGAAGTCTGTTAGCAATATAGACATGATGCATCTTGTGTTATCTAATTGTGGCAGTTACATCTTATCGCCTTTGCTACCTTTTACTGATAGAAGTAAATACTAGACCAGCCCACACTCAAGAAAAGGGGATTACTTGAGAGTGAATTCCAGGAGACAGGGACCATTGGGAGCCAATTAAGAGTCAGCCATTCACACTGTGTAATATAATCATTGTAAGCATTAAGTAGTTAATACTTAGAAGAGTAGCCAGTCACATAGCATGTATTCTGTAAATACTGTCTATAATTGATATTAACATCATTAGTATTAGTGAATTCTTATGGAAGATTCTATAGGAGTAATAAGTATAGAAATGCCTCCTGTTACATCTCTGCACTTAATAAAATGAAAATAATTTATTCTAGTAAAATCTAGATTATAGTGAATATCAGAAGTTCTTCATCACTTGATCTGCATCAGAAATTTCATGCTGAAAAGAACTGTATGAATTTATCAGAATCTTTTCTGATCCTTTAAAAAAGCAAATGGCTTATTAGAATCCTTGTTGTCTGACCAGAATTCAAGATATATCACAAACTCTCAAAAAAGATGGCATAAAAGAAACTAACCAGTTGGGAATTTAAATGTATGTGTATATGTGTGTATGTAAAACTTATATATAAAAGAAAATACCATTATAGTCAGTATGCTTTTTGATGCTTAAATTGCCCCATCTTCAATTAGTTTTTCAAATTGGGTGTTTTGCCAGGTGTGGTGGTGCATGCCTATAATCTCAACAACTTCGGAGGCTGAGGCAGGAGGATCATAAGTTTGAGGCCAGCCTCAGCAACACAAATTAGGCATTTTGAGATAGCCCCACAAATAGTAGTTAGATAGTTTATGACTTGGTTATGATTATACGGTTTGTCAGCTGTGCAAGATGCTATGACACGATCATCATTCTTAAAATCATTAAATTGTGAACCAAATTTCAGCATCACCAAAAATTCATCAAATTCAAGTGGGGATCGCTTCTCGGCCTTTTGGCTAAGATCAAGTGTAGTATCTGTTCTTATCAGTTTAATATCTGATACGTCCTCTATCCGAGGACAATATATTAAATGGATTTTTGGAAATAGGAGATGGAATAGGAGCTTGCTCCGTCCACTCCACGCATCGACCTGGTATTGCAGTACTTCCAGGAACGGTGCACCCCCCTCTCGGGGGAATTATACTGGTTTCAAAAAAAAGACCTTAACAATATTAAGCTATGAAACAACAGCTTCACTTGTTTTTTTTATCTTGTTTTTCTGCTGGAGGCATACATTACCCATGTTAGCTCTATTTTAAGTATTAGGACTCAGTGTAGGGTGTTTCAGTAACTCACCGAGGACAGGGATGGATGTCATACTATATTTGGGTCATGTATAAAAACATGAATTTTATGTTTTGGAGCTTCGCCATAGTCTTATGGATACTGGAAGATGTTGAGTGCTTCTCTCACTCCACATTGGTCCTTGAAGGTCTTTCTGCTAGGAAGTTTCAGCCCAGGCTAACATCATCCCTGCATTCCTCAGTGTGCTATTCAGAAAATATGTGTCAAGGCCTGAAGGTAGAGCCATAAAAGGAAGCAAGATTCTAAAGAGTTTACCTGCTTAGAGAGAAGGGGGCTGCTAAACAAGAAGTTACAAAAAAAAAAATTCAAGTGGGTATTGTTTTAACTTAAAAAGTCTAATCAATAAATTCAAAAAGAATGATAGGATTAGAAAAACTATCATTGTCTAGACTCTAATGGAATAATAGGACCTGAAAACAGTGTTCCATGGATAAAAAGACTTTTAGTTGAAAAACTTTATAGTGGATTTATCATACTGACCACTTCTGAATCCTTTGACCAATTTTAGCCTTAGTCAAAATGGGACTGTCATACAATGTCCACCTCCTGGTGGAATCCAATAGGAAGTACACACTACCACCTGTGAGGCCTTCTTGCCAAAACAGTGAACTGAAGGAATCATACTTTTGAATCAAACTGTTAAGATTTTGGGAAAGATTGAATAAAATCAGTGTCACCATGAGGAAGTCACCAATGAGATCCAGAATGTGTAAAATTCTACAGAATAAATGCCCTGATTTTGTCCACTAACAAGAGGCATGAAAAACAAAGAGGAGCAACCCTTACTAATAGAGTAGGATTAAGAGTCACATCACTAAATTCAATGTGTGGGAATTACTTGGATCTGGTTTGAACAACATGTTAAAAAAAGGTTTTGAAGACAGTGAAGGAATCATGGACATGGACTGAATGTTACATATATTTAGAAATATAACTTTGTTAGGGATGATAATATCAATGTGGTTACTAATCAAATATCCTATGTGTTAGACATATTTACATATTTCTGATATTGTAAGATACATAGATTTACATTGAAATATTCCAGCAAAAGAAAGAATGGCAAAATGTTGGTAATCATTGAAGTGCAGCGATTTGTTTATGGTGACATTGTTTTAATATTTCTACTTTTGTATGTATTTAACATTTCAGTAATAAAATATTTAAAATCAAAATTGGGATTATGAACTATTTAGAAGTTAATGATGAGATGCTTGCACATCTAGCATGTCACATATCACCAAAGTTTTATTCATTGAGCAAATAATGCTGTTTGATGTACTAATGAAGTCTCATTTGTGGGCCCATTTTCATCATCTTGACTTAAGCAAAGTGAACAACACAGGATCTGTCACATGGATAAGTGTCGTGAAGGAATGAATAAGCGTTTATGTAAAGAAACCAGAAACACCAGAATAAAACCAGCACAAGTAAAGGGAAGCCAAGTACAGTAAAAAGCAGAAATTAAGAAAATAGTAGACTTGATACAGTATTAATGACTAGATTTTTGCAGGTCTAATCCAAGAAAAGGAACGAAAGATAATACACATAGAGCATTAATGATGGTAAAGGTGACACAACTACAGAAAAAATTAATAAGTAAGTGGATGTGGTTGCACACCTGTAATCCAGCTACTTGAGGGGCTGAGGCAGGAGGATTGCAAGTTCAAGGCCACCCTCGGCAAGTTAGTGAGATCCTGTCTCAAAATAAGAAAGGGCTGAGGATGTAGGTCAGTGTTAAGAGTGCTTGCTTATCATGCACAAGGCCCTGGGTTCAGTGCCTGCACAGAAATATTCATTTCAATTTCAAAATGTGTAAAGATATAGAAGGATTACATTTTTCTCTAAGAAAGTGTTACAGTTGACTTGATACAGTAGAACCCAATAGTGTGTGTGTGTGTGTGTGTGTGTGTGTGTGTCTGAGCTCCCCATTTAATAACAAAAAAATCTGATAACTATACAGCTAAAAGCTTTAAAGAACAGATACTCTTTAACAAATTTTTAACAATTCTGTACAGCTAAAATAATCCTGATAATAAAACTAGACAAAGATAGCTCCTAAAAAGCAAAATCTAGACCAGTTTTATTAAGATTATATTCTTCACAACTCTAGTATTTTAGAATTCATTACAATACCAGTCTTCATTAATATGTAAGTGAGTTTCCTTTCCCAAGCACCAGGTGTCTCCAGACCTGTGATTAACACAGTATACAGCCCAAACCCCCAATGTTCTTCACGTGTTTTATTTCAGGGAATACTAGTTCTTGATGATATTTAAAATATTTTCTTGGGAAAATATGCAAATGAGCAAGTCAAAGAAACAAAACAAAATCTACTTTGAGGGATTCCAAGTACATGTAATCAACTTTTCAAATGATGTAGAAAAGAAAATTTATTTGTATCTAAAACTTATTTCATTGGGAATTCTCACTTCCAATATCTGTTAAGACCTTTGGTATATGAACACTTTGTTAGAGGCTACCCTAACCACAGGTTAGGGATGTCATTTCAGACATGGGAATGATTGATTGTATTGCAGGGGGTGAGGTGGAGAACTTTTCTTTGCAGCTCTCATCATACTCTACAGAACAGAAAAGATCGCAGCTTCACCCTGGACATGTATGTATGAAACAGACTCAACTATTGGGTTAAACTGTCATTAGGATGTAAATAATTTTTCATTGTAATAAAAATCCTATATTGAATACTATTTTGCCTAGTTTTTGATTCTCTTAGAGTCTACAGTCTCTGCAAGGTATTATCTAGAGGTGAGGTTGATTATTATAGGCTGTAAATACTTCCAGCTTTACCACCTATTGCCAGATTTTTACTCCATTGTACCAATTTTGTGCTGAGAATCAAACCTAGTGCTCACATGTGCTAAGCGAGTGCTCTACCACTGAGCCACAACATTAGCGCCCCTAAATGCTAGTATTCTTAAAGTGCATTTCCCTTTGTATATATGTATACAGCTTTTAAGTGGGAACCAAGATAAAATGAAGAACCAATTTACCTTTAAGCTCAAAAATAATTAAAAATTTTTTCTCTTCCCTAAAACTTTTACTTTACTTCTCCATTCCAATCAAAGAATAGTATGTCCTTTAATAAATATAAAAATTATAAAGTGGGGTTGCGGCTTGGTGGTAATCATCTCACGTGTGAGGCACTGGGTTTGATCCTTAGCACCACATAAAAATAAAAATAAAGGCATTTATTTGTTTACAACTAAATGTCTACAACTAGAAGAATATTTTTAAAAATTGTGGAGACATTAAAAAGGAGAAACCATGGGGCTGGGGATATAGCTCAGTTGGTACAGTGCTTGTCTCGCTTGCACAAGGCCCTGAGTTCAAACCCCAGCACCACAAAAAGAAAAAAGAGAAACCAATCATACTGCATCTAAACTATCCTGACCCTTAGTTACTTTCTAATTTGTGGCCACATTCATAAGTATCTGGCATTAAAGATTTCACTGCAATAAAATGTTATTTTATTTTTCTTATATAGGGCTATGGCAGAACAATTACCAAACGAGGACATATTTTTTCTATAATTTTATACATGGAAATTTTATATTTTCAAATGTTATTACTATTTAAGAAATTTTAAAATGAGCATCTTCAAGCAAGATGTTTTCCTGGAGGTCAAAGCAAGAAAACCTTGTCTACAAGGTTAGTTTCATTGATAGCATGCAATAGTATTATTGCTTTTGAGTGTTTTTTCCTTAAAAATGCAAAAAAATACACCTGTTTATGATAAAAACTTTGAAGTGAAACTAAAGGGTCCAAGATGAAATGTAAAGCTCTGTGGCACTTGAAACCTTCCAAAAGTCACATTCCGAAAAGCCACTGTTAAAAATTGTTTCTTAGGTTTAAGCTGGGGTTGTGGCTCAGTGGTAGGGTGCTCACCTAGCATGTGCAAGGCCCTGGGTTCAATCCTCAGCACCACATAAAAATAAATAGATAAAATACAGGTTTTGTGTCCAACTACAACTAAAAAGTAAATATTTTTTTCAAAAAAGTTTCTTAGGTTCTCTCTATGAGAAAGTATTAGTATCTCTATCCCTGTCTGTCATTCTGTCTTAAACAACATGGATGAATACACCTCATTACTGTTTTGAGGTGGGGAAATGGGGTCTCACTCAGTTGCCCCGGCTGGTCTTGAACTCGTGGATGCAAATGACCCTCGTTCCTCAGGTGTCTGCCGGGACTACTAACTGAAGCATCTGCACCTGGCTTACTTACTTCATTTCTTTAAAAAGTGTCATGGTTTTTTGTTGCACAAATGAATCATGTACTTAATCTTCTACTCAGAGAATTTTTGTTTATTTAATCACTTTTTAAATTTTAGACATATTTTAGAGGTAGAATTGACAATTCAAATTATATGTGCACTTTCAATACAGAGATATATGAAATAATTGAGTTTTCTAATAAGATATCATATGCACTACCATTAACCTTGTGTGGGAATACCAAGCACTTTTACTAACCAAGTATTAATCCTAGTTTTTAAGTCTTGTCAGATGAGAACAATTTCATTTTATTTGCTTTTATTTATGAGTGAGCATGAGTTTTTATTATGTACTTTCAGCAAAATATTTGCTTATTTTAAAAGTTAGATGATTGTTTTTTTCTGCTGATTAGAAAGGAATTTAGATTTTTTTTCTTGTATGCATTGCTGGTATTTATTTCTCACTGTGTTATTGGTCCTTCCAACTATTGTTATCTTTAGAATTCTGGGTTCCTATCTTTTCAGTCTCAGTGTTATAACCATGCCTAATTCGTCACTGTTTTTCTTATACTGTCTTCACAGTTTTGTATACCAATGATCCATGTGAAATGCATTTGATGTTCAGGATTGAGGTTGGGATTCATGTGTGCTTTTTCCTAATACATTATCATTCTCCTAATGATTGGTGGGGGTAATAATCTACCTTTTCTTCACTCATTTGAAATATCACACTCGTTTTAATGAATTGTATTTTGATTTATGTTTGGACACTGATCCCTTTCTATGGCATCTCAGACATATGCAGTTACTAAGCTGTTTTGTGCTGTGTTTTCAGAGTAATGTTTAATATCTGTAGGACATGCCCCCATCACTATTATTTTTAAGTACATGATTCCTGGGTTGTCTCTTCTGAATTTTTTGTACTTTTTAAATTTTAAATCAGCTATCAAGTTTGAAAGCTATACAAGAAAATCCTGTTGTAAGTTAATGGATTAATTAAGAAGATTTTATCTTTTTTAACATATATACACACATGTATGCATAGCAATATATATAATATACATATATACACATACACATATACATGTATATATACATATACACATATGTATATATTTTTTTGGTTTAGCACTAGGGATTGAATCCACTAGTACTAAACAAAAAAATATTTTACCACTGAGCCAAATCCCAGCCCTTTTTAAATTTTTTTATTTTGAGTCAAGGTCTCACTAAGTTGTTTAGGTGGTGAAGGCATTCCTGTACCCACTGTTTGACAGGGCCACAGCATCTGGAAACCAGAACTGTGGGGAATGTTAAGTGTTTTGTTTATGATCCTCATGATACAGATAACAGGGCATATGTCAATCAATAATAAAAGTACGTATTGCCTGAGATTGCAGGAAAATTCCCAGAATGAGACTAAGGGTACAATTAAGACATGCCCTGAGGTGTTTCAGTATCTCTTAGGATGCAAACAATAGTGTTATTCCTCAAGCCTAAGCTACAGGAAACGTTTATCCCATGGTTAACAATTTATACACCCCTCACCAGTTCTAAAGCCACAACCTGTGCAACAGCCTAGCTACAGAAAAACAATCGCTGTGCCAACAGTACAAGGACCACCGTATGTAGGTTACTTAATTAAAGGAAGATTATGGTGTCCCCCTCGAGGACAAGAGGCTAATAAAAATACATTTCCCACCAAACAGAACCTCCTTTGCCTTATACAGGAATTTATGATGAGAATGGAAAACACACAGCTAATATTAATGGCAAATGGGTTGAGGTGCAGAGCCTGCCCTTTAGTTAAAATTACAAAGACGTAAGACTTGGTGTGCTTTGACCAAGGATCAAGGAAACTCTTTAAGAAAGCAGTTAAATAGGTTATATGAAAAAAGGAAATTACTCTGGAAATTAAAAATAGAATATTTTAATTTCCAG